ATAGGAATATATAGGAAAAATCTTTAAAAATCTTCTTCTCAAAAACCTCTAGGCCGGGAAAAAATGAAACTCGTGTGAATCATCCTCAAGGTAGTGTAGATTCAAGTTTGTTCAAATCATGATCCTGGGGGTAGGATGGAGCCAAAATGGATGATCAAAGTTTTACATAGGACTAGATAAGGAAATCTTTAAAAATCGTCTTCTCGAGTACTTTGAAGCCATGATTACTTTTATTTATATGAATCATTCTCAGGTAGTGTAGATTCTAGTTTGTTCAAATTATAACCCCCCAGGAATAGGGTGGGGTCAAACTTGGGGGATCCAAGTTTTACACTTAAATATATTTTTAAAAATTTTTTTTTTTCAAGAATAGCAAAGCCATGATTAGTGATACTAGTATTTATATTGAAGCATTTTCGGGTAGTGTAGAATTTGTACAAATCCTGATTTAAATTTATTCAAATCATGCCCATTTGGGGTAGGGAGGGAAACAATGGGGAATCAAATTCAAATTTTTATGAAGTTATATATAGGAGGGAAATGTTTTTAAAAAATCTTTTTTTCAAGAACAGCAAAGTAATATGCTGTATTAATTTGAAGGCATTCTCAAGTTGTATTAAATTCAAAAAAAAATAAGAAAAAATGTTTTAAAACGGCTTGTATGATAAGCCAGAGGATGTTTTTTATATTTGAATATGACTACAGTAAAACGGGGTCATTACTAAATCCCAGGGAGAGAACATTTTACTTTGTTATAAACGTAATTCGATTCGGTATATCAGTTAAGTTCCCAGTCTATTTTAAAGCTCTGAGGAATGAAAATCTCTACTCTGTAAGCCTCAATTCATTTTTAGCGTGTTTGCTATAAGCGTGCTTTACTGTATGTAATATTCATTTATTAGATTAAGGTATAAGGGTGAGCCTTAAGGTTATTTCGTAATTGACCTGAATTCATACTATGTTGAAACGTCCATCTTTTGATCGATAAGATCTCTGTTTAATAAATCTTGACAATTGTTGCATTTTAAAACTAATTTTGAAAACCTTTGAACCATGGTAAAGTTTTTGAAATTTTACAGCTATTTATTTTCAAATGGATTTGCATAATTAGGTTACTGTAAAGCCTAGAATCATGAAAGAAACATAATCAGTTTCACCTTGGAAACTCAAGCATTCTCATGCAAAAGGAAAGTCATGAAATGCCCTACTTTTGTGATTTTTGTTATTTAATTTATTATTCCAAAAATATATATTGATAGTTTTCGATGGAGCCAAAGGCTCAAGTGAGCTTTTCTGTCCGTTGTCTGTCGTTGTCGTCGTTGTTGTCATCGTTGTAAACTTTTCATATTTTTTTCTTCTTCTCAAGAACCACTGGGCCAATTTCAACCAAACTTGCTACAAAGTATCCTTGGGTAAAGGGGATTAAAGTTTGCTCAAATGAAGGGCCACGCCCTTTTCCAAGGGGAGATACTATAAGTAATTATGAATTAGAGAATTACTATAAGTAATTATGAATTAATGGCATTTTTAGCTCTTCTGAGCCAATGGCTCAAAGAGCTAATGCTATGGCCATTTGTGTGGTGTGCGGTGTGCGTTAACTTTTTGGAAAATGGGCCACAACTCAAGAACCCCTTGGCCAATCAGTGTCAAATTTGTAACAGGGTATCCTTGGCCCAAGAGCTAGCCTTTATACTAAAAGTAGGGTTGGGACCCTTAAACAAGGGGAGATAATCAGGAAAACAAAACCAAAAATACTGGTTGCTAAAACATCTTCCTCTCCAGAATCACCTGGCAGATTTTCACCAAACTTACATACAAGGATCAGGATATGTTGAAGATTAAAAATTCTTCAAGGCATGACCCTGGGGCAAAGAGCGTAGTCTCAAGGTCATTTCAAACTTGACTTAAATTTACAATTATTAAAAACTTGTATATTTTGCTTACTATAAGGACTAGGATCATCAAATCTTGTAAGTTGATGCATCTTAGGACTTTACATCATGTTAACTAAAAGAGGTCACGGTGACCTACTTTTAAATTTTGGGGGTATTTGTTTTTAAATTGATTTGAAGGCATATTTTGGACACTTTAAGCCTTTATCACTTTAAAACTTTATCAGTTGATGCATCTCGGGTCCTTGAACAACGTCAACTTAAAAGTAGGTCACCGTGACCTACTTTTTGAACTTTATGACCAATTCTTTGAAAAACATTTAATCCAATTATTTCAGACACTAAGAGGTTTAGAATCATCAAATCTTGTAAGTTGATGCATCTTGCGACCTTAAAACATATTTATGAAAAAGTAGGTCACTGCAACCTCCTTTTTGAATTTTGCAGGGCATTTGTTTTGCAAGGATTTTCATTAAATTAATTTTTTCAAAACCCTTGGTAATGCATGCTATATTTTTATATACGAACTTCTAATGCCAAATAATCTTAAATAAAAAAATCTCTTGAAACAAGATGTGTTTGTGAAACACTAGGTCACCGTCAAGGTCACCAGGTCATTGACCTTAGGGTCATTTGAAAGGGCTTAGCTAGTGAAGTATGCATAAAAAATATGAAGTCTCTATCTCTTATGGTTCAAAAGAAATGGCGAAAGTTCGAAAAAGCTATTTTTAGCATATAGTCACAGTCAAGGCCACAAGGTCATTGACCTTGATGTCATTTGAAAGAACTTAATTAGAGAAGTATGCATACCTAATATAATTTCTCTATCTCTCATGGTTCAAAAGTTATGAGGAAGATTAAAGTTGACAACAGACAGACAGACAAACAGACAGGACAAAAATAGTATACGCTTCGGATCAGTAGTAAAGGTAAGTTGCGTATGTCCTTAAGATATCCTGTGTTTTCTAGCTTCAAATCTTGCATTTATATGTACGACTTGACAGTATTAAAATATGGGTCCCTTGATAGACTCACTTTAAGTATTACTTTGTATTTTGTGTATAGTCATATTATTGAGCGTATCTTGAGACAGTCTGCTTGAATGAAAAGTGGCATCTCTTAGACACTGAGTAATTGAAATAATTTAATGAACTACGCAGTTCATTCTGTAAATTCACGCGTATCATATACGAAAATAATATTGCAACCGTGGGAATGCTCAGACGTGATGCATAATGCATGTAATTGTGAGGTATACTCTGGTTTAGAAAATTATTGAAACTTTAAGTATGCGTGATATATTTCTGCCAAGAATAAGAGAAACTGCCAAATTACATATACTTGTAATGCCCCCCCCCCCTCACTAAATAGACCCTCAAGATGAAATCAACCTTTACTCCTCTTAAAAAGTGAAAGATTTTCGATGAAGTTCCTGCTGCGAGGGGATGCTACGCATAGCGGTGCTCCTGCTTTTTTTCATTCCTTATACTATTGTCAATAATTTACTTCACAAAACTGCCATGACATAATTTGATTCCTCTACACAAATATGACGATATCGAAGTATTGCTGACTAATGCAAAATTGCCCGAATTTCTAAACGATCCCTACTAAAACAGTATTTCAATGAACACAGAAGTGGTCAGTTTGTCAAAGCATTTAAAAAGCGCAGAAAGATCGACAAACCATCTCTTAGTACATAAAACATCCTTAAACTTTTCAAAGCACAACATAATGTACATTACCAAAAAGGTCTTTGAAAGTTCTTGTGTGTTATTAAGATTGGTGTATCTAAATTGTTGTAAAAAGCTGTATATGATTTATTTACAGCTAAGAAGATAAAACAGAATAAAGAAGTTACAGATGGTAAGAATTAAAGACGAGAAAATGATATAATAAACCTGAGATTTCAATCTTTGCACTTCACTGATTTAAATTATGACAACGTCTTACATACATACAACCTCTATCCCACTATCCCAGTTGTTCTTTGTTTAACAATATTATATTCATCAGCCATAAGCAATGCTGATATTTTTAAATGATCATCTTCAGTTATCTTTATTTGATTTACATTTACGCATAGCTTGATTTTAAGCATCGTAGCAAACCTCTGCCAAAGTGTACAATTCTCTCCCTTTCTGGCCGTGATTGAATAAAAAGAGTATAACGTGCAACGCGGCCGAGCTTGGTGTTTGTGATATGGCTTGTATCACCCGGCGTTACACTTATGTTCGTTAACCAAGTTTGACAACCACTAACTGTGGTCAACGGGTGTCTCCCGCAAATGAATTACTTCGGTCCTGCCACTCCACTAGTACTGCTGCATCTTGGCACTTCCCCCACTTCTAATTGTGGTATGCCACCTCTTCTTACAACCAAGTGACTGCCTTATTCAGGTCTTACGTGCAATGGTGTACTGTGAAACACTTAGCCGTTTACCCCCTGCATCCGTCTGCCTTATTCAGGTCTTACGACCGTATGCAAGAGATGAAGCAAACTAATGTTTATCCACTCCGTCACCAGAGAGGTCCACTGAGTTCCTGTAATACAGCATGTATTACCTCAGCGCAGTCCCAGTACATAGGCAGTTTCATATTACTTGTATGATCTGAGAATTAATATATTTTTAGTGTTTAAGAATTTATATAAAAACGTAGGTCTAACGTTTATACGAAAGTTAACAACAACCAATTTCTGTTTCAAGAGAATATTGCGTATTCCTTTAAAATATTGACCAGTGCGAGGAAAGCATAGTGGGATTATTAACTTTGACACGACCTTTCAGTAACCAATCTCTCTGAACGAAATATGTTAGTTAACTGATGATGTTAATGATTTCAATTGCGATGGAAACAAATATTGTCATTGGCTGAACATTACGACACAACAAACAGGCATATATATTCAAGATTACTACAACTTATGTTATCAAGGCAGCAACGCATAGGAGATAGCTATAAGTGGAACTCCGAACCGTGGCTTGAGACAATTGATTTTAACTTGATGCAATTCTCTGACATAATGTATACATGAAATATTCATGCTTGAATGGTTTTTTTTTATCATTCTCAAGTTTATGAAAACTCTAGGAAATAGTCATGACACAGAACGTGGATAACGTGTACTCCAACACAGCGGAAAGTAATGGGACGTGACAAAAATGGTTATAAGGTAATTTTTATTCTATTTTATTTTGTAAGCATATTTCAAAAGTTTTTCTTGCCATATTTACGTTGTCTCATTGGAAGATATGATAGCGCTTCTTGTACATTCATATGACTTCATGTACTTACTCCTTATGCCAAAATCATCGCTATACATGTATAAATCTGTATTTGATCTACAACTATGCAATATTTTTTCTAGTAAATAATGTAACAATTCCTTAAAATGCGCCATAAACTAATATCGATCTCGAAATAGATTTTTTAAATAACTTTTAAAACCATTGAGGAATGTGTAAAATTACTTAAGCTTTAGAATATAATATATTTGTAATAGGGGCTTTATTCATTTAAGGATGAAAGGTTTGTACATGTACTAGATTCTCCATTGCAAAAATACACTACGACCAAAATAGTATTGATCAGTAACTGTACTAAACAGTTTGCATCACAAGTTACATTCTTTAACACATTCTGATTTGTTATACTTTAAAAAAAAATTATAAATTTATACTTTAACAACTTTAACATTTCCGATGCTTTACAGAAAATCATGTTTACCGCTGAGTAAGATATTGAACCGCTTAAATCACTCAACGGGCGGTTCAACTACATCTGATTTGCATTTGTTGGTGTTTGGCACAAGATTAACATCATTTTACATCAAGGAAGCCAGCATAAGATACATGAAAGTCAAAAATAAAGAAACTTTCAATTTTCATTTACTGTGTTCTCCTGCAACGTGCATTTTCGAACCCTCGTACCAAACTGTTCAAACGGCATCATGCAAACTGTTTGTTCTTGGATCCGACAAAACGTATACATGTATTTAATAGGGTCCGTATATCTGTGTATACTTATATAGTTGGCAATTATTAAACAACCTTAAGAGCATGTTCGATGGTCGAAAATTTGAATTAACAAAAACAGAAAAATGTTTAACGCCCCATTGGAGAATTTTTCACTATTTTAGAGACATAACCATATACAGATTAAGGGCTTCCATTTTAAGCTCACCTCAACGAAGTTAGGGAAGCTTGTGTGATACCGTCGGCGTCCTAGGTTAAGGTTAAGTTTTTGGGGCAAATTATTTTAGTACTTCTATGACCTATATTGATTAGAAATGCATGGAAGATGCTTTGTAGCAGTCAAAGATTCAGATGCTGCAATTTCAGCAAAGGAATGACAAGGTTAATGTTTTTTTGGAGCAGGTTAACATTTTTGGTGCGGATTTTGGTGTAGGTCTCATTTCCAAATAACTGTAAGCCCAATTTTGACCAAACTTGTATGGTACATCTAAGGATGCATACTACTAGACTCGCTTCGGATGCTGAATCTGACCTACATTTCCGTATGAGTGACTTAGTAACAGGTTAAAGTTTTTGGTACATGTTCCATTTCCAAGATACTATGAGCCTTATGATAACCAAACTTGCAAGGATGATACATCTTAGGATACATACTACCAGAATTGCTTTGGGTGCTGAATCTGACCTACATATTCCAGATGAGTGAACATGTTAAAGTTTTTAGTGCAGGATTCATTTCCAAGTAACTTTGAGCTCTTTAATGACTAAAATTGCATGAATGATACACCAAAGGATGCATTCTACCAGGCTTGCTTCGGGTGCTCAATCTGACCTACGTTTTCTGGATGAGTGAAAATGTAAGTTTTTATACCCCCACCCCCGCTGGAAAAGGGGGAGGGTATATAGTAATCGGTATGTCCGTCCGTTCGTCTAGCTGTACGTCTCTCATGCATGTCTGTCCGTTTGTCCGTCTGTCTGTTACGCTTTGTGGTACCCATCCCTTATCAGCAACTCCTCTCATACCACTTAATGAAATTTGATGAAACTTTCTAAGAATCTTTCATACATATTGCAATTGTGTACCTCTTATTTTACTTTTTGATCTAACACATATTTTAGGTTTTCACAACAGAACATAGATACTCTCATTGTATTCATATTGGAGGCGAGGGTATCCTTTATTGGGCTCATTGCTCACAGTACCTCTAGTTTGTGCAGATTTTATTTCCAAGTAGCTATAAGCCCTACGTTGAGCAAACTTGCATTGATGATACGGGTTAGGATTCACACTAATGGACTTGCTTCGGGTACTGAATTCGACATAAATTTTTTCAGATAATGGACCTTGTAAAAGTGCAGGTTTATTACCAAGAAACTATCAAGCTTATATAAACCAAACCTGCACAAATGATGCATCAAGGGATGAAAACTCTATAATTTATGCCACAACTGTCAAAAATACCATAAAACTAAAAATAATGTGTGCTAGTTAGTACATGCTCAATTTAGTGCTTGTCATGAAGGTACAATTGGGTGCTTTTCAATGTAGATTTTACAGCGAATATTACTTTAAATCATACGATTGAAGCTTTTTGTATTTCTTGAAACACAATCTACGATTTAGCTCACCTGAGCTGAATGCTCAAGTAAGCTTTTCCGATTGCATTTTTTCCGGCATTGATCTGTCCGTTCGTCTGTTAACTTTTTACATTTTTGACTTCTTCTCAAGAACCACTGTGCCAATTTTAACCAAACTTGCCTTAAAGTTTCGTCCGTTGAAGGGAATTTAGATTTGTTCAAATATCAAATGAAGGATTATGCCCTTCTCCAAGGGGAGGTAATTACAAATTAGTGCAATATCTCTCTCTCTCTCTCTCTCTCTCTCTCTCTCTCTCCCTCCCTCTCTCTCGTACGCGCACACACACTATCTCTCCTAATTGGGGTATTAGTTTTGTTGGTTTTTATTACCTCACTTAAGTACGTCAGCTAAAATGTAGGTCACCTTGACCGACTTATAACTTACCTGAACCGAAGGCTCAAGTGATCTTTTCTGATCACAATTTGTTCGTTGTCTGTTGTTGTCGTCGTTGTCGTCATCGTCGTTGTCGGCGTTGTCGTTGTCGTTGTAAACTTTTTAGCTCAACTGAGCCAAAGGCTCAAGTAAGCTTTTCTGATCAAAATTTGTCTGTTGTCTGTCGTCGTTGTCGTCGTCGTCTTTGTTGTAAACTTTTCACATTTTCATCTTCTTCTCAAGAACCACTGGGCCAATTTCAACCAAACTTGCTACAAAGTATCCTGGGGTAAAGTGGATTCAAGTTTGTTCAAATGAAGGGCCATGCCCTTTTAATTTCCAAGGGGGGATAATTATGAATTGGAGAAAAATTAATGGCATTTTTAAAAATTCTTCTTCTCAAGAACCGATGGGCCAGGAAAGATGTGGAATCATCCTCAGGTAGTGTAAAGAACTTTATTCGGTAATAACCAATATTTGCCCCCCGAATCAAACTTTATTGAGATATATTTAATTAAGTTCTTAAACAGGGAAGTATATGCTGACTTCAAAGCACTGAATATTTTTATAAGTAATGACGCCATATGTACGTTATGACGTCACAAACATGACGTAAATTTCAGTTTTTTTATGAATTTTACAGAAAAATGTACATATTATGTCGATATTTTGAAAAATACCGAGCGCATGTGTGTTAGGATCAATATTTTGATATAATGTGTAGAATGATAATATCAATGAAATATGTCAATATTGTTCCTGGACAAACTTGCGCTCTATAAATTTTAAAGCTAAAATTGTTGAAATTTTGTCCAATTTGTTCTCTTTCTGAAAAAGGCTATAAAATCGGACTAGTTTGTGACGTCATAAAAACAAAAATTGTAAATGCACTGCTTTGACACTATAATATTTTCTGTTAATTTATATTTCTCATACAATTTATTGAATTCAGCACATTTCAGGAAGTTTTCAAAATTTGACTTTTGTGGGGGCAAATATATGCAATATACTGCATATAGTTCTTTAAGTTTGTTCAAATCATGACCCCTGGGGGTAGGGTGGGGCCAAAATGGCCGATCAAAGTTTTACAAAGGAGTATAAAGGAAAAATCTTTAAAAATCTTCTTCTCAAGAACCACTGGGCCTGGTAAGATGAAACTCATGTGGAATCATCCTCAGGTAGTGTATATTCAATTTTTTATTCAATACATGACCCCCTTGGGTAGGGTAGGGCCAAAATGGCGGATCAAAGTTTTAGATAGGAATATATAGGAAAAAATCTTTAAAATCTTCTCAAGAAACATTGAGACAGGAAAGATGAAACTCATGTGTAATTATCCACAGGTAGCATAAATTCAGATTTGTTCAAATCATGACCCCTGGGGCTAGGCTGGGGCCATAGTGGCTGTTGAAAGTTTTACATAGGAATATATAGAAAAAATCTTTAAAAATCTTCTTCTCGAGAACCACACTGGGCCAGGAAAGATGAAACTCATGTGGAATTATCCTCAGATAGTTTTTATACAAGTTTGTTCAAATCCTCACCCCAGGGCTGGGGCGGGGCCGAAATGGCCTACCAAAGTTTTAAATAGTAATATATAGGGAAACCTTTTAAAAATTTTTTTAAAAAGTACTTCAAAGCCATGATTAGTGATATTTATATGGAATCATCCTCAGGTAGTGTAGATTCTAGTTTGTTCAAATCATGACCCCCTACGGAAAAAATTTAAGCCCCCCGTCCCACTTCAGTAAACTTTCAGTTCTGATCTGATATGTGCTTTTTCCTTACCGATGTTCTCAGGTGAGTGCTGTGGCTCCTGGGCTTCTTGTTACATTTTCATCTTCTTCTCAAGAACCACTGGGCCAATTTCAACCAAACTTGCCACAATTAAAGTATCCTTAAGTGAAGGGGATTCAATTTTGTTCAAATGAAAGGCCACGCCCTTATTTAAAGGGGAGATAATTCAGAAATAGTGAATAATTGATGGTATGTTTTACAAATCTTCTTCTCAAGGCCCTCTGTGCCAGGAAACTTGAAAGTTATAGGGAAGCATCCTTAGGGAGATTAAAATTTGTTTAAATCATGACACCCGGGGGTAGGGCGGGGCTTCAATGGCGAATCATAAGTTTTACATAGAAATATAGAGGGAAATTCTTTAAAAATCTTTTTCTCAAGAACTACTGTAACAGGTAAAGTGAAACTTATATGCAACCATCTACAGATAATGTAGATTCAATTTTTTTTCAAATCATGACCTTGGGGGTAGGGCGAGACCAAAATACCCGTAGGTAGTGTACTTTCAAGTTTGTTCAAATCAAGACCCCCGGGGGTAGGGCGGGGCCACAATGGCTGATCAGATGTTAACATAGGAATATATAGGAAAAATCTTTAAAAATCTTCTCCAAAACAACTCGGCCATGAATGATGAAACTTTTACATAGGAATATGTGGAAAAAAATCTTTACTATTCCTCTTTTCCGGAACCACTGAGACCAAAATGGGCGATCAAAGTTTTACATAGGAATATATAGGGAAATCTTTAAAAAATTTTCTTCTCAAGTACTGCAAAGCCATGATTAATGATTATCACATGGAAGCATCCTCAGGTAGTGTAGATACTAGTTTGTTCAAATCATAACTTCCAGAGATAGGGTGGGCCACAATGGGGGTAGGCAGTGAAAGAATGGGAAGTCATATTCAAATTATTACAAAGTAATATATACGAACAAAATGTTAAAATAAAATCTTAAAAATATTTTTCTCAAGAACTTTCTCAAGAAATTTTATGCAGTATTGATATGGAGGCATTCTCAAGTAGTATTAGAATTCAAGCCCCCCCCCCCCCTTTCCTCTTAGTAAACTTTTCAATTCGGATCTGATTTGTCTCCCGCTTAGTAAACTTTTCAATTCGGATCTGATTTGTGCTTTTTCCTAGCTCAGGTGAGCGATGGGCCTCTTTTTAAAAACAGAATAAACTTTGATGGTGATGAAGCACCAAAAAAATGTTAAGAGTTTACTTCAGATTACGTCATTACAAGTTTATTTTTGTTGATATAATTATCTTATCTATAAATTTCGATAATAACCTTTTAAGATGAAAAAGTCTCATTGAGCAAAACAGTTTGTTACTGTTCAGCTTAAACTTTACTTTACTTAAACAGAACCAGGATGGGCTGCTCTACGTTGAAGTACAGTTTGACCAAGCAAGGCAAGACAGTGGAAAACCAGTTATCCATGGCGAAGATGAAAAAACAGATTATGCTACGGTTGAGTTCCCCTTCCCACCATCCAGCAACAACGATAAACCTACAGATGAAAAATGAAGGATGTTTAAGATTATTTTAATAAAAGATGTTTAAGATTATTTTAATTTTTCCTTCATTGATTGCTTATCTTTAATATCTTTCCTGCTTTTTATACATGTATGTACGTGCATATGTATCAATGATTAGGAACTATTGATATGTACAATAATTCTTTAGTTACATACCATATATATCAAAGTAAATAACTTTTACAGAACTTTTACATTATGGACTTTATGGAAAAGACAGTTATGAAAATTTATAAACATCATGCCTTTTCATGGCAAAGGTATCTAAAATGTGTACTAAATTACTACTTTTTTAAAACCTTTTAAACCTCAAAATATCTTATGTAAATACTTTCTCTATATTTAATTTTAGTTCCTCATCGAACTTTCCTTATCATTTAATTTTTTTCAGTAAAATTATTTATGCAAGTATACGAATGCTTTTTTTTTTATTTTTGAGTTAAATTACTTTTGGAAGTATTGTCTTGCTTGTTTTGTGATTAATTGTCGAACAACAACTCATAACCAAAGTGCCTTATGCCATAATCATACACATACGAGTACATGTACGTGCATTAATATATAATGTTCCACAAAGCCATAAATAAATGTTATTATGATTTGTTGAAACTAAATCTATAATTGCAAATTATATGTTAGAAATACAAACATAATTTAAGTCTGCTACACACTTTTGCGTCTAAGGATTGAATTGTTTTGCCATTATTATGTTTTCATAATTATTGTTCTTTTAAAACAATTAAAATTTTCTATAATAATGTTTTTATTTATAATTATTTTTGTGTCTTTGATTGATATTTTATTAATTTCATTTTCATAAATGAAAGGAAACCAAATTTTTTGATTTAAAGTAAGTGTTTATCAAGCTATTCAGATAGTTCTAGAGATTGAAAACAATAATACTTCTTGCAGTATATATTTTGATGAAGAGACTTTGTTAATGTACGAATTTTAGGAATGCTAGTTGTAATCATTCTCCTTTGTCATAGAGTAATAATACAAATTCAAAGTCATTTAGTTGCAAAACAGACTCGCTTAATTAGCTTAGTATGTGTAAATGCATAGGTTGAGATAAGTACCTATTTTCTAAACCGAGATAAAAAGACAAGCCAAAATATGTAATTTTAAATATGTTTATAATAATGAAATGTGCTTTATAATTATTATTATTTTTAATTTTCATTTTAGCTCTACTGGTCAGAGACCAAATGATCTTATGCTATAGTAAGGTGTATGTCGGACCTCTGTTTGTCAGTCTATGAACAATTCCTACGCATCCTAAAGCTTTCTTGACACACAAGAAGACAACAATAATACACGTAATTTTGTATATGGTTTTTTTTTTAATTTCGACAAAGGGTTTTGCCGTTGCTACAAAAAACAGCAATTTCCTTGAAATACACTAAAATACACAATTCTGTTTGTAAGTTTTTGATTTCGGTAAATGGTGGGTTTTTACCAAAAATTTGATTTTTTGAAAAATACTTTCAAAACGCTACTCCTCCTACAGTTTAATCGGATTTCAATATATCTTGGCACACAAGTAGACTACACTTAGATATATTATTCTGTTGATTGATTTTTGCAGTTTTGCAGATTTTTAAGTTTAAGTCTGATCGCTCTTTCCTCCAAAAGATACTAGATCAAGGATTACAGTTCTAGTCATTATACCCCCAGTTGAAAAGCGGGAGGGTATATATTAACTTGTCCGTCATCCGTCTGTCTGTTACGCTTTGGGGGACCATTCATCCGCAACTCCTTTCATCTACTCAATGAAATTTGATGAAACTTTCACAGAATCTTTATTACTTATTGCCATTTTGCACCTCCATTTTACTTTTTATCTGACACATATTTTGGGTTTCCCACAACAAAACATGGACACTCCCCTTATATTCATATGGGAGGCGGAAGATGTTTAGTGAGCTCATTGCTCACAGTACCTCTAGTTTCTGTTGCAAAGATTCAAATTCAACTGCTACTATTCTTTTCCTTTGTTATATATACAAACTAGTAGAGCTTCAGTCTCGACAGAGTTTTAATCCTTTTTTTTTTTTCATCTTTTGTACTTTCATAATTTAAAACATTATTCAGACAACCTGAACCTTGTACTAATATTTAGAGCTTATAAAACATCCAAAGAGACATAGTTTGCCAATTTTTGTCATTAGTTTGATTCATTCAATAATTGTTTTTTAAGGTGGGTTTTTTCTCAGGTTTCTGATTAGATAAAATATTCAAAGGCATTTGCTTATATGTCTTATATATTTAGGTGTAAGGGATTTGAAAAAAATAAATGTATTTCCAGGATTTTGTGAAAGATATTAATTGATGAATATCTTTTAGTTTCTAGCAAAAGACGTAAAAAATACTAAACATTTTTCTTGAGGTTTTTTTTAAAAGTTGTTTTAGAAGAAATGCACCACACCATTTATAGACATTTAAATATCACACAGTTCCTTCAAGAATTGGAACTCTATAAAAACCCCATAAAAAAAGACAAAAATTTTAAAACTGCTTTGCGTATATCCTTAAATAGAAACGGCAAACCGCATTTGAAAACTATCAGGGACTATTTTTTTGGGCAGAATGGTGGCGTATGAAATTTTTTTTTTGCCTCTCAAAATTTTATAGAACAATGAATTTAGTAATAATTTTTACACCATCGAAGACTTGATGCAATTTTGTAAGTTTAATTAATAATAAGGGACACTAAAGCTCCTTAATATATCAAATGAATATGATTTTTCAAACAAATAGAATTAGCCTAGCTTTTATATGCTTCCAATCTAAGTATACACTTGAGCAGTAATCCGTAAAATATTCTTTTTTTTTTTTGGAAACGGTGAAACTTTTTGTTTTCTATCATTTTGAATCTTTATGTGACAACTTTGCCATGTGTGATTATGAGAAAAATTTTAAATATAGGAAGCATATAAAAATCACTAATATAGCCTAAAAATTAAGAAAAGTAGAGAAATATCGTATTAGACAATACCTATTTTAATTGAATTATTTATGTCAATTTGGAAATGTCAACTTATATGCCCTTTATGGTAGTATTTTTTTGGCAGAAAGAAAAAGCATTCATGTTTTTTAATGCAAGTAGTGACTTACTTGGCAGAAGTAATTTATTATTATCATTATTATTATTAATGTCCAGGAAAGGGGTACCATGAATGAGTGATATTGTCTTATGTAAACATTTCATTTATTTTAAAATCAGAAAGAAATCTGAAAAGAATCCTACCTTAATTTAATCTATGAATTCGGTTTATTTTCTGAAGAACTGCTACTTGTTAATAATGAAAATATAGGGAGAGCTTTCAACAATCTTGTATGTAATTCATCAAATTTGCTAACTTTTCATGTTTATATATTTTAATAATTTTTAATTTTTTTAAATAAAAATTGCTAGAAAACACCTTAAGCTTTACAATACTACTTAAAACTAATTCTGTCGTATTTACCCCAAATTGTCCATGTTCTTTCTTTAGATTTTTAAGGGGGATGTACAAGCCATTTTGGGTTTAGTCTGGTGTAAACTAAGAAATACCAAGAATGCGTTTAAACTCTAAAAAACTACCCAAAATTATCAAAGTGCTAATGCACTAATTACCTACTTTGAGCCAAAATTAGTAAACAATTAAGTTTATTTTGTCTTAATTAGAAGAAAATTAATCATGTTAGAACTGCGCAGCTACAGCTTTAGAGATGAAAAATGCATTGAAAATAGCTAGTTTGATTCATTGATAATATGGCTACAACCATTTGTTTCGTTTTTTTCTTGTCATTATCCATAATTCTTGAAAATTTGATTTTTCATATGGGTGTCTTCCTGAGGCCATGTGTTTATTTTGGTCCGCCATTCCTCTGTCACACAGAGTTCGAATAACAATGATTTTAGAATAAATGCGACCATAATAACATCAAGAAAGAAATTACTAAGTAATAATCATTAGGTTATATTACTTACTACTTTTATTTGTTGCATCCATCATCTGATTCATGAAAAACCGATTTTAACCTCATCCAGCAAATCGGGAAAAAGTGTTCTATTTTCAACTCAAATTTCTGTTAATATTATTACACTGAGCACGTGGTTGGCATATGCATTTTCTGCTTGGGGATAAATCCGTTTATTACCATTATTATATTTGATTTTCATGGAACAAGTCTTGATAATTTGTTGGTTTCTTTAAAACTAAAAAAAAAAGAAAAAAATTACAAAACAATTGTTTACGGTGGGTTTTTTTCTGTGGCGATAGAAGTTATTTTCAAATGGGGCACTGAAAGGAATGTTAGCATTCAATTTGAAAATGTTAAACAATATGCAGTGCATGAAAAATAAATTGTAATTACATGTCTTACATTCGAAAAGTTGGTACATATGTCTATTTTGTTTGAAGTGTAAAAAAAATAGGCAGTTATGGGATATCCTTCAGGCACCTCACATAAATAGCTAGAATGTTTGCAATGACCCACACATTGTATGGAGTAATGTTTGGACACAAAAACGCATCATTTCTCATTATGTTGACAACGTTAATTGTAAGCTCTCGCTCATTGAACATACGAAGCTTGATAAAATATAATGAGTTGTTTCTATGAAATTTAGAAGCGAGCACAATATTTGCAAAGAAAGGTCCATTGCATATATGCTATGTCTATCATCACAAAAAAAGTGCGTGCTAACCCCACCCCCCCCCCCCCCCCCTTCCCCCAAAATCCTATGTTTGTTTTTTAAAATAGTGTCAAAGATTAAAAAAATTGCATTACTAAGTATGTGATGGAACATGTACTATAGCCTTACAATACCACTTGTTATAAAAATATTTGGTTGCCCCTCTCCCGATCTACTGCCTAGAAATGGGCCCCACTTAATTTTTTAACATTCCATTACACGATATTTTTCTTTTTTTCCGTAAAAATTCTGTTTAAATTTTAAGGATTTTTTTCTCACCTATAAATACGGACCCAATAATTTTTCCCCAGTTTGGAGGACCACCAAACATCATTTTAAAGATGTTTATAGGTTGATTTTTTCTCTTTACTTTGTACAATTGTAATTTTGAAAATATGGGCAAATAGAAAAAAAATTTATTCATTAAATCTCCTAACCCACTCTGAATGATTTCATGCCTTTTCAACTGTTGCTCCTCTGAATGAAAATTATAAATGTTTATTTGACACAGTATACGAGGGGTGATCAAAAAGTAAACAATATCTAAGGTATT